CCAAAATTTTCGCAGGATAATGAATTTGTGGTTATTTTCATCGTAGTTCTCCTCATAAAAGAAATAAACGTATTTTTCTCGGAAACTCAAAAACCGAAAAATTGTATTATTAATAATCGAGAAATAGAAAACATAAATAATTGCCCCACAATATTTTTGGCTATTTAACGTCCTTGAATTTTTATGTTAAATAAATTATCTGAACTATGGAGTTTAGAATTTTCTACACAACTTTACTTCTACCACTACAAAGTTTCGAAATTTAATGAACGTGCAACAAAAAAGATTAAACGATCAAAATAAATACGATTTTGGAGGAAATATTGTGGGTCCAATATTTCCAAGATAATTGTTGTGTTCGCACATTCGTTTCCATGACCATATGAGACAACGGGATATAACTTTTCATTTAGATAATTTATATTAGGTATTTATAGTTTAAAAAACATACAACATATAAATATCACAGTTGCCATATACTAAATTCATCCCCCTTCAAGCTAAAAACATTAGTGTTTACAAAATATCATATTCCTATCCGTTGTCAAATAAGGCCGCGAATTTTATTTGGGACACCTGATAGTCCCAGCGACATACCGGTTTTTGAATCGCCGCCCCCGAGCGAAAAAACCGTACCACCGCCACCGTTTTTTTGTAAATTTGTTTCGTAATTATTTAATTTAATATTAGCCGTAAGATTTATAACTTTAGCCGTGTAGCTGGTCGCAGCGAATAAACCCGATTTATTGTTCAAAATATTCCCAATATTTACTGTCTTGTTTTCGCGGCGCTCACCACCTGAGATCCGTGTCCCCGGCTTGAGGGCAACCCCGGCGCTCTCTCAATATTTGAAAGATCGACATTTATATTCTGGAGGAGTAACTTCGCTTTGTGAAATATTAAAGGAATTAAGCTTTCGTTTTTCCAAAGACTCCAATTGAGGGGCTTTGATGGAGTATTTGAGACAATTTTTTTTACGAAAATACATTGAAAATATGAAATCAGAGAATCCAGTGCGTTTTCTTGGAAGAAACGTGGATTTTCCAAAATGGTACTACTATCAAATCTTGGCATGATGACAACATTAAAAGTGTCAAGTCAATTAAATCAGAAGGCGGACGATAGGGTAGGAAATAATGCATACATTAATTTTCAATCAACACAAGCGGTTTCATACCAGGGGCTTCATTAGTTTTCCATTCCGAGAGTAACTCCGATGAAGATTATCATGGCGACATGGATATGGAGAACGTCAGCAGGTGGTTAATTGAACTGGTGCCAAAATTGGCTATGGGGAGGAAAAAGCAAGAAATATGTGGAATGAGCCCCTCGAAACATGAGTTAGTATAGTACGTCACATCAGTGACGAAATACTAAGATGGTTCTGACAGTGGATAATTAGAGACTTACAGTGAATAAAAAATAAAATTTATCAACACGTTTTTTATACCCTACAAATTAATGCCATTTTTACTGGAATGTCTCGAAAACCCTATCTGATGTGATACAGCGGAGTTCAAGTGTTCAGTTTTTTAACCTGAATTTGAAAAAAACGTTTTTCAAGGAGTTCATAATTTAGAATTTTCGTATTACGGAAGAATTTAAAAAACATTTTAGTTGTCTCACAGATACGAAGAGATATAGTAATACTGATTATTTTAATTTTAAGCGCGGAAAGAATTAATCTTTAATGAACAGGGAATATCTGTGCCATCAACATTTTTTTTAATTAATGAAAGGTCAATGAGGAATGCTTCGCAGGAAACCGCAAGAGCTAAATAAGGCATTTCTGTAAAAATTTGGCTGAGATGATGGTAAACAAAATATAATTTTATAGCTTATATCGTTCCAAAATACTTATGTAAATATTTGATGTCCACTTAAATCATATAATCTGTTGCCTGTCCGGAAACTGCAAGAAAAAAGTAGATGATGCGTGTTAAAAAGTTTCACTAACTTATAAAGACATATGTACAAGTTGATTATCGCAGATGCATTCAGCCATCAGCATTCTTTAAAATTCTACGACCAAAATGGCCAAGAGAATTTCCTTGACAACACTAATACGATGTTAATATAAAATTTTAATATATTTAATATATGAAACATTTGTGAAAAATGACGACTAACTTTAAGAATTTAGCGATATAATAAAATGTATTAAAATGTCAAAAAATCGGAATAATAAAAACAATGATTGAGAGAAATTTCTGAAATATTTCTTTATTTTGAAAGAAGCTATTTATCGTGTTCCATTCTCCTTTACATACTGAAACTGTAGCAAAAAATTACTAACACTGCATCGGCATCAGCTTCATTCTAACTTTCCAAATAATCTGTAACTCTGCATCACCGAAAACCGTCAATTCCAAAGTTAAACGGAGAGGATTTGAAATACACAGGCTCAGGTTAAAAGTGATCAATTCGAATATTAGAGCGAAACATGCATGCCACTTATCACTGCGGAATGCCATAAATTCGAACTTTTTCAACACATGAATCCGCTCAAACCGATCCTGCGGCGGATATTTGCCGCTTCCTCTCGATGAAACGAAGCTCTGCGCCAGGGGGCGCTCTCTCGGCGAAACTAGCGACGCGTGGCGGTCGTCCACTTTACAATCTGCATGCATTAATATTTATTGCTCACTTTAATCTCTGTCACGTATGTTATCCAAGCGCCGCTTATGACTTATCTTTGATAATTTTCGTTTTGAAAAATTATATCAAGTGCTGTTTTGTACACATTACTGCCTTTTACTACACCCTTCAGCCTGTAAATGAATAACATAAATTAGAACCGCGGTCACAACATAACTCGGTTACAACACCGCTCACAGTGTCATAAAGTCGTAAAAGCACTAGGCGGGTCTGATAATGTTTTCTAAAGATAGTGGTCATAATTTACGTAAATTAAGTAATTGTTTAGAAAATATACGGTACGAGGTAAAATAGATTTTCTTCCTAAAACGACCCAGCGAACACACGCACTTTTAATTAGGTAGAGTCTGGGATGAGGGACTTTATTTTCGTTTCCAACAACACAATTTTACGCATTGACCTGAGTTGGGACAAAATTACCGTATTATTTTATGAAAATTTTCTGCTCTGTTTGATCTTAAAGCAAAACACATCTTTATTTAACATATTAGAATTGCAGCGATTGTCTTAACCATGCTTCCCTCCTTTTTAATAAAACTGCAAATACCAAATTGTATACTTACTGAAAATATTCTCAATAATTATCTAAGCGTTTTATATGTTCACGAAGCTGTTCTAAATTAGCCGCAACCTCCTTTAAAGTTTCTATCTAAAACACTTAGCTGGAAATTAAAAAAGCAACTTATCTTTGGTGAAGTTAGACATTCTCCAGGGTTTTATAGTTGTTTTGATAAGAAAAAGGTTCTCATGAAGACTGTTGCAGTGGTTAGCCAGCTGCCAGACGTTAACCTCCATATTTCCTTTTAAGCTCTTTTAATGTTAGTCTGTGATCCTTGTGTTCCCTTCAAGATGACTACTTCCCTCTCGCTTCGTGCTTCCGGCTTCCCGGTTTTATACTAAGCTTTTTCAGGACGTTTAAAGTGGGATTGTGTACTTAGTTGTTCAGATTTTTGCGTCGTGTTTATTTACATGGAACAAGTTCCTCGACGAAAAATTAATACCTTAATAATCTGCCGGAAATTACCGCTTTTTTTATTTAAGTAGGAAGTGAAAAAACAACGCCGAGTTATAATAATTTCCAAACAAACGTTCGTTTTAAAAGCGCGAAACCCGACATTACACGTTTCAATAAATATTTAATGAAGACATCTTTAATAAAACGACTGTGAATTTCAAAGGGGTGAAAAGGAACTCAATTTTTATTTGCAAAACTCTAAAATTAAACAGAAAACGTGGAACACTTCATGAAATTATTGTTCATTAATTAAAATCTAATGTACATAGGAGTATTTGACTAGCGGAGGCGATGTTTATCGCGGTAACTAATGATCGGATATAGCAAAACAAGTAGACTTTTTGACCCTTCTTGTCATAAATGTTCCGTCTCAGTTCGATCGCGTTCTCGAATTAGTCATGGAAAATCACTGAACAACTCAAATTGAATTATTTTATCTAGAGTGATGATTGTTGGACAAGTTAAACAGAGTATATGCACAAATTGGTCAATTTTATTTGTGCTGGGTGGCAGCAGAGGAATCCCTCCACGAAGCTCCTGGTCGTAGTGCGCGACCGCGTTACACAAACCATCCACTACACCCGGCCGTAACCAAGAAGCCCGTGATGAAGCCCTTCGAACAGCTCGTATTCCTTAACACCTCCATCGGCAGCAAAATCTGGGCTAATGGCAGTGTTGAGGAAGAGGAGCTGCTCGAAGGGCTTCATTTCGGGATTCTTGTGTGATAGGGTCCCGCACTGTCACCCAGCACCAATAAATTGATTAATTTGTACATTTACTCTGTTTAATTTGTCACCACACTGCATAAAATAATTCAATTTGAGTTGTTTAGTGTTTTCTGAGTGAGAATCGAGTAATAATTTCTCAGTAGGGTGTGTTTATCTCTGAAATTATAGTTTATAATAATTATTTCCGTATACGTACTTCCAGTGAAGTAGATGAATGTGGCTTTAGTTTGGGTGTTATTTATTCTCCACGCAGGTACTGTATGAAGTCTTGATACTTTGACAAGAGAATTTAGTAGATGCATAATTATTAGCTCTCGGAATGTAGATTACGATTCCTTTTTTCTTGTCACAGAGACAGTGAGCTAGTGTTGTAGAACTTATTCACAACACCGAAACATCAATCCTTGGCCAGAGCTGTGTTTACGCTGGCTTAGGATCCTCCATCATTAAATATGATACAAGACAATCACGTGATTTAATCTTGTTACGGTATTCTGTTATAATAACCGCGAAAAAACAGTGCAGCTGTCACTTCGCGACAAAGACTGAACATCTTCACAAAGAATAATAAATCATGGTTGCTGTCAGTGGGTACTTACAATATATCTCGATTGACGTTGTTGCGGACACCGGTTGACTGATGTTGTTGTTGGAGGCTTGGCATGTAAAAGCGGCGTGCTGATCGGCCCTCCGCAAGCCTTTGATGACGAGTTGGTTGGAGCGCACATTCTGAAATCCACTGCGAGTCTCCGTCGATTCTATAAGCTTCTCACCACGCCACCATTTTATCGTGGGCTCCGGCTTGCCTGGAAATTGCAAATTGGACACGTTATTACGAGACGCTTTCGCACGATCTTTTCTCGAATTTATTCGAATTAGAGGGAACAACTTATAACTCGGTTTCCTTGCCTGGCCCCAGGGCTTCTAGTGCAGGTCGGCTAACTCAAAAATTTATTTGTTGGTAAACTTGGGAAGCTTGGCAGCGGTTGCATAAGATCGGCTGCCTCGGGTGCCTGCTTGTGTTTCCTATTATTAAAACTTTTCCGGTATTCAAACTTTTTAATAACATACAAGGCTGGGTCTGAACCTATTGTTTAAAACCTATATTCTACCTATACATTCTCGGAAAATAAAAATCATATCGTAAATATTACACATTGCTGAAGGCGAGTAATTTTTCGATGTGTAAGTTATACAGTATTGTTTGTTAAAAGGTTATTATACGTATTACGGGAAAATTTCTCTTTGCATACATCGCTCTTCTTGTACGAGCTACAATCGCTTCCAGTTATGATAAAATTTGATTTAACGAATTTCATTTTTATATGATAACCTCCGTAAGCTACAATAACAATATGTGTGTAATGTAGTAATGGTCAATAAGCATGTTGTGCGTATGTTCCAAGTGAGTTTTAACAATATTGTAGTCCCAAACCTTCGGGAAAATGAATATTGTAGATAAAGACTACACAAACGAGAAAAAATGTCTTAAATAATAACAAAATTGGAGGTTCATTACTAATGTAATAAATTTTCAGTTTTATCATGAACCAATCACCAACTTTTGACAAGTTTATAATTTTTTTTGAAATTATGTAAACCATTAGACGGTTTCAGTGTTTTGGACCGGCACCCTTAATTTTGAAAATACTGAATTTACTGTACAAGCGCTTCCCACACATACACCAAACAAACCGATAAAACGTCAGTGACATTTTAACATACATTTTTTATTTCTATTGATTAATTGTACTTTTTTAGTTTTAGAATAATAGCTGTGAGACGTACTGTAACAGGATCATATCTAATTTAATGTTTACATGGGGTTCCACAACTTGTCTGTTTTCTGTCACATCTCGTCTGTCTGTTAGCAATTCTGTTTTGTAAGGGAGATAATCCCCCAGACCACATCATTGATTATTTTGAAATTTTAGGTGTGCTTCAAAGTTCTCGTGTGGGCGGTAAAGAGCTAACCAAAGCGTGTCCCTTCATCGTTCATGACCTTCAAAAGATGGGCGACATCACATTTCTACCTGTATTTTATAAGTACAACGATTCCCAAATTGCATAGCTGTATCTAAGCAAAATTTATTTTTTATCAATTTCAAATAGTTTGCGCCTTCCAAAAACTATTAAAAGTGTCGATACTGAAAATCTCTAAAATGCGATGTTATATATGCTTTAAATGAGTCTTTATTTTTCAAAATTACATCAGGATATTTCAAACATTTAATGGAGACATCTATTTATTTTCTTTTGTCGATAATTAACTTAGAAGTGAGTTACCTACTTTATTGTCAGTGTAGGTGTACAGTAAAATTATTGCTGTTGTTATTTAAGTTTTCTTTAAGCAATGTCACTCAAAATATAAAATGTATGACATTCCATCGCTTGTGGTTTTGTGAATCCATTAAATTTGTATAAACAATGTTTACAGTTTGTTACGTGGCTCTCGACCGCGACTAGGCTCAACCGGGAAGGCCGTGGGTGATGGTACAAAAAAAAAAGAAAGATTGGAGCCTACAATTAATTAAATTTATTTAGAACGGGGGAGGTGAGTGACTGTGTGACTGAGTACAAACTATTGATCTAAATATAAAAAAAAACTTAAATAAATTACTATCCTAACCTTATGAGTACTTCGCGTCCGTACCGCAACAGTGCCGTTCCTGGCGGTGGCGAAAATGCCCAACGCGAATATACTTAACCGAAAATAATAATAAAAAAATACAAGAAAATAAAATAATACCTAATACCCTATAACTAACGCCTCTCCTTCTTTCCGGAGTTCAACACGGCGTCCTCACTTAAAAAAAATGGGGTGGGGCGGAGCGGCTAGTTGACCTTCGTCCAAACTTCACACAGAAAAACCTTTCCACGCCAAGAGCGCAAAAAGATGGCAACACGTAGAAACGAGGAGGGAAAAAAAACCCAATAGTAAAAGTAATGCGAAAAAGAAAAAAAGAAAAAGGCCTGAAAAGAAGATTAACTAAATTTCAATCCAGAACCCAATCCAGTAATTACCTCTGATGGTGTGCGGCCTTAAAGTAAATTTTCGGGGGTCTCAAAAACACAGGACACACGTCCTCGTTCCCAAATGCGGTGGCCTCAAATCGTCTCTAACGCAATTTGGAGAAGAGTAATGCCACAACTGGCTAAAATAAGGGCTCTACCTCCAAAAATGGCCCTTTCGCACTGGATACCCTGAAAACACTTGCACCCGTTCCCAACGACTCGAAAAATCAAAATGGAGTCCCTCCTGGTTTTTTTTTTTCCTTTCTGTGGCATGCGCGGTCTGAAATACCCAAATTGATTGAGGGAGGGGAAAATATCGATACCCCGAATCAATGAGAGCTGTCAACTAACCTCACAAACTCATGTAAATAACCAAAATCAACCAAAATCGTATAAAAAAATTATTGCTGTTGTTATTTAAGTTTTCTTTAAGCAATGTCACTCAAAATATAAAATGTATGACATTCCATCACTTGTGGTTTTGTGAATCCATTAAATTTGTATAAACAATGTTTACAGTTTATCGCAGATACAGCTTTCGGTGTTGGCTGTGTTTCATTTAATATGTTAATAAATGTACAAATTTTTCCAGTTGTTTCTGATCTTGGGATAGCTGTCTTGCTTCGTTTATTTTTTTCTATTTGGTTTTACATTATTTCCAGTTATTTTTTATTTTTTCTGCATCTGGCTTTATTGTTGTTTACATTATTTCCAGTTATTTTTTATTTTTTCTGCATCTGGCTTTATTGTTGTTTCATAATTGGAAGATAAGCGCCTAAATATTTTTAGATGATCAGCAAGCAGTGACACTTCAGAATCGATTCTTTTCACTACATAATTAATAAAGATGGTAAAAGACAGTGGTCCTACGACAGAACCTTGGGGAACGCTAGATAAGACAGGCACTTTGTCGGAAATGTGGCCAAGGCACTTAACACATTGCATTCTTCCTGTTAAATACGATTTAATCGGCTTCACTAAGCAATCAGAAAACCCAAAGTTGCCTAATTTAATTAATAAGATAGAATGATCAATTCTGTCAAACGCCTTCGAAAAGTCAGTGGACAACACATCAATTTTTTGTTTAAATTCAAAAGACTCAGACACATGTTGGGTGAAATAAACTAAGTTGGTAATTCACTACCTTCCTTTAATAAATTCATGTTGAGAATTACTTAAGCAGCAGTGTCCTGTGGCGCCGCCGTTGACTGATGGCAAAAATCGAGTCGATTTGCGAAAGCGCGGGTCGGGGGCAGGATTGGACGGAGGACGGAGAAGAGAGAGAGAGTAGAGTGCTAACGAGAGTAGGGTAAGAACGATTGGATTGATTAAGATTATTCTTATATACGCTAATTTTACAACCCAATAATAATTTTACAGGATTAGAAAAGTTATAAACGAAATCTTCGTAGGGAAAATTTGAATTCGGCGCCACAATCGTGACGTCAGCGCCACAAATTATCTACTCGAACTTATGAAAATTTGAGCTCCCTCGGTTTGAATAAAGTATCAACAAGCCTGCTTATATAATTTTCAGAAATTAATTTTTAATATGTTGAATTCATCAAAATTATTCGTGCAGAGGATAAAAATAAATTACAGTCTAATGCCCCTTTTCTTTTAATATGCGTAGTCTTCTTTTCACAACAAGAAAGGTAAAACATGTTTAAAATGGTAAATTTCTGCAGCAAAGTATCGATCTTGCAATTAGGCTCCGCCCCTTGGTCTGACAAGGAATGGAAAATTCATCACAATTGAGCTTGGGATGGACATGGGTGGGGCTTAATTTTTGGCTTGTCTTTTTCTTAATATACATACTATTCTTTGAACAACACGATACTCAAAAACATTTTTTTATTTTCTGTAAAGAAATAAGGATTTTGCAATTAAACTCTGCCCCTTTGGCTCACGGGGAATGAAAAATTCATCACAATTTAGATAGGGCGGGTGGGCGAGGCTTATATTTTGCCATTTTTTCTTAGTATGTGTAATAATCTTGTCACAACAAGAAACTTAAAACGTGTTAAAATGGTAAATTTGTATAGGGAAATATCGATTTTGCAATTACGCTCCGCCCCTCGGTTTGACAACGAATGAAAAATTCATCACGACTGAGATCGAACCGGATGGGTGGGGCTTCTCTTTTAGTTTCATTTTTAATTAATACATTTAGTTTTCTTTGTATAACACGATTACTTAAGAACATATTTCACATGGTAATTTCTCACAGAAAAATAAGGATTTTACAACTGAGCTTCGACCCTCGGCTCACGACGAATGAAAAAAATTATCAGAATTGAGACAGGGCGTGTGGTCGGGGCTTATATGTTGCCTATTTTTTTCTTAATATACATAGCCAGCTCAGAACAAGAAACTTAGAACACGGTTAAAATGGTACATTTTTGGAAGGAAATATGGATTTTGCAATTATGGGGCGGTTCCTAATTGCAAAATCGATATTTACTTATACAAATTTTCCATTTTAAACATGTTTTAATCATGTTCCTCTGTCGAGTGGGAATGGAAACTAGTAATAAAATCTAGAGCTAATCGTAAGTTCATTTGCTAAAATTGGGCTCATCTTCCCAAGTACTAGGCCCGCTCACCGGCCCTCTATTCTCTTGGAAGATATCTCATTTGCAAAAATCATTCTTATCTTAGCAAATACTAGCCCCGCCCACCCGCTCTCTATTCTCTTGGAAGATATGTCATTTGCCAAAATCAGTCTTATCTTAGCAAGTACAAGCAACGACCACCCACCTTCTTTGCATTCTAACTACTAATTTTGCTT